TGCCTGTAAGAAGAAAACAGAAGGGTTGCCTGGAAAAGGCTTAAACCAAATAAAATACAAAAAAAGGGCACTCTCCAACCTGTTGTGCTACCTGAAGGCTATGTAGTGTGCTCATGGTTTATCACATTTTGTGAGCTGTCACCTATGCTAAGGGCATGATGCAGCTGTCTTTGAGTCATTTCTGTTCCTGTAAGTAACCCCCAATAAAACTCATTGGTTCACCAAGCGGGACTCTGGTGGTATCTGTACTTTGGTCTATTGTGCATTCCCTATCTGAAGAAAAGTTTTGTTACACAATACTCGTCCAGCAAGGACAAAGTTTTCCTTAAAAAAGGAAACCAAGCCAGGCATGGTAGGGCAAGCCTGTAGTCCCAGCACGTGGGGAGGCAGAGGCAGGCAGATACCTGAGTCATCAGGACAGCCTGGTCTACAAAGACTCCAGGACAGCCAAGGCTACATACACAGAGAAATCCTGTCTCAAAAAATCAAGGGAAAAAGGAAACCAGAAAGAACAGCAATATTGGCTTTAGTTCATCTCTCAAAAGCCCCATGTCAGCCTAGACAGCGAAATAAAATGTCCAACAAACCCCAAAAGGGTAAGGAAAGCTGCCAAACGGTTGTATCCCTGGGACCTTCCTGTTCAAGAGGAAATAATGGTAGGTAGGTTAAGGCCCTGAACTAAGGAACATTACAGTGCACATACACACAAAGTCCAACTGGTATCGTCAGAAACCACAGCAGCCCAACTTGAGAGCAGCAGTCAAAAATGAAATACTCTTGGCCACTCCACCAGTGAGTGAAGATCTGAAGGGACTACTGGTGCTTACCGAGTTCCTAAATGTGGCATACAAAGCTCATGTCCAAAACCCAATCCCACATGAGGAGACTGCTATAGCTACATAGTGAGACACTATCTCAAAATGGGGGGAAGGGATGAGCACTCTAAACTGGGTACATTTTGTTAAAAAATAAAATAAAATAAAATTCTTGGGGCTGGAGAGATGCTTCAGCAATTAAGGGCACTTGTTGCTCTTCCACAGAAAGATTTATTTCCAAACACCCACAAGCAGCTCACAACTGTCTGTAACTCTACACTCTGCTGATCCTGGCAGGCACAGCATTCACATGACAATATGTGAATTCACATAGACAAATATGCAGGCAAAATACCTATCCGCATTAAAAATAAACTTTAAGGCCTGGTGCCTTTAATCCCAGCACTCGGGAAGCAGAGGCAGGAGGATCTCTGTGAGTTAGAGGCCAGCTGGGTCTGCAGAGAGTTTTCCAGGATAGCCAGGGCTACACAATGAAATCCTGTCTTTAAAAAACCAAAAAACAATAAACCTTTAAAATTTTAACAGTCTTGTTTCCTGGAAGTAACACTGGCATTATCTCCACCTTTTCTAGTGTGTAGTGGCAGATCCATGCAGTAACTGTGGGATATCCTGATCCAATCACTCTATCTCCAGAACCAGTTGTTGTTGACAAAGTTGATTAAAAAGCCCACAGTACTGGACTGGGGATGTAGCTCAGTGGTAACGCACCTGCCTGGCACACAGAAGGGTTTGATGTCACACCCAGCACCAGGAAAACAAAGTAATCACTATCTGGTTCTGCAGTTTTGGCTCAAGGGCTGAGCACTGGGCTAACTAACATATGCAAGCCCTAGGTTCCACCCCTAGGACCAGTGAGAAACAAGCAAGCAAACAAAGGCTACACCTATACTGTACAAAAACTACACCTAGTTTGGGGAAAAAAAAAATTAGTGTTCAAACTTCATCAGATCTAGTAAAAAAAATATAAAAGCATCAATCATTTTAATACAGAACATCTCCATATACAATATCCAAAATGCACAGCAAGTGGAGGATTTAATTCTTAAATCAGAGCAGATTAACTATCAAAAAGAAATCTGATGGGGTTCTCCAGCCACCAAGTGATCCAGCAGGTCAGGACAAGACATTAAAAGGTTATCTTGAGGGGCTAGAGAAATGGCTCAGAGGTTAAGAACAGTCGCTGTTCTTCCAAAGGTCCTGAGTTCAATCCCCAGCAACCACATGGTAGTTCACAACCATCTATAGTAAGACCTGGTATGCAGGCAGAATGGTATATAAATAATAAATAAATCTTTAAAAAAAAATAGTTATCTTGAAACTTCCATTCATAGGCATTGTGTTTATCAAAAAGTTAAGGCAGTTTGTATAGATGTGACTGATAAGCGCCACAGGCTAAGATATCTCCCCCCACACTCCCCAGACAGGGTTTCTCTGTATAGCTCTGGCTATCCTGGAACTCACCCTGTAGATCAGGCTGGCCTCAAACTCAGAGAACCGCCTGCCTCTGCCTCCCAAAAGCGGGCATCAAAGACAAGTACCATCACCACCCAGCCAAAGCAATCTTGTGTATCAACAAAAACTTCAGGAAGTATTTTTTTTTTCTGATACAGAAATAGCTTAGTTCAGTCAACAGCTCAAAAGAAAGAGGGGTAGTGTAAGCAATGGTATTTCAGTGACGAATTAGGGACTGTTTTTGAAAGATAGCACCTAGTGTAGCCTTGGCTATCCTGCACTCTGTAGACCAGGCTGGCCTCCAACTCACAGTAATCTGCCTGCCTCTGTCTCTCTGAGTGCTGGAACTAAAGGCGTGTACCACCACACCCAGCCGGTATAAAAGTATAACCAGTAATCTGCATTCATTTTGGGTGTTCATTTTGCTTGCATGTATAATGTGCACCAAATGTGTGTGTGATTTGCCCTTGGTGGCCAGAAGAACCCCCAGAACTAGAGTTCCAGAGAGTTGTGAACCTACCTAGGTCTTCTGGAAGAGCAGCCAATTAATTAGCCATGACTACAGCCTGATAATTTGTTCACTAAAGGTTCCTTTTATTCTTTCTTTTTCTGGTTGGGAGACAGGGTCTCACTACGTAGCCTTGGCTGTCTTAGAACTATGTAAACCAGGCTGTTTTTGAATTTACAAAGATCAGACTCTGCCTTTAGTCCTCTGATGAGATTAAAGGTGTACACCACCATGCCCTGAAAGAATTCCATTCTTAAAACTGACATGCACAGAGATATTAAGTGAATGTATCACTGTCACATTAGGTTGATGAATAGAATTTAGATATATTTAATAGACCATTGAAGAGGTTCTCTGCTAGTATAACTAATAAATTATGCACAACACCAGATACTTTTTCTTCCTAAGATCCAGCCAGTTATTAGAAAGCTAAACTACAACCATAAATAACCTTGTAAGAAATGAATATTTGTTGAAGACAAAGCTTAGCATGTTGGGGCATGCACGTAATCACAGTACTACAGAGGTGAAAGCAGAAGGACCCTAAGTTCAAAGACTGTGTGGGTACCTTAAAGAGACAGTAACTCAAAATATATATACATTTTTTTTTTCAAGACAGGGTTTCTCTGTGTATCCCTGGATGTCCTGGAACTCATTCTGTAGAGCAAGCTGGTCTTGTACTCAGAGATATGCCTGCCTCCAGTGTACTGGGATTAAAAATGTCACAATAAGTTTTTAAGGAGGCCAAGAATGTAGCTCAATGTCAGGGCTTTTATCTAGCACATGAGGTACTAGGTTCCAGCTCCAGTGCCACAGGTAGTAATAAGGTGATGGCAACAATAATGAGGAAAGCTTATGGCAGCTCACATCTGTAACCCCAGCACTTGGTGGCTGAGATAGGACTACCTAGACTTTGACATCAGTCTGGCCTACCTAATGAGTTCTAAGCCACCTGTGCTAGAGTGAGATCTCATATAAAAAAAAAAAAAGAAAGAAAGAAAGAAAGAAAGAAAGAAAGAAAGAAAGAAAGAAAGAAAGAAAGAAAGAAAAAGAAGAAGAAGAAGAAGAAGAAGAAGAAGAAGAAGAAGAAGAAGAAAAAAAAAAAAGCCTGGCTGGCTGCCTAAGACTTTAATCCCAGTGCCTGAGGGCAGGGGCAGTAAGGATCACTGAGTACAAATCCAGCCTGGTCTACACAGTAGGTCCAGGCCAGCCAGGGCTTCAGAATGAGACCCTATCTGAAATAAAATGAAAGAGAAGCTAAATAACCACTTGAATGTTATACTCAAACTAAGCAGGCAGCCCACTAACCCTGATCCCAAAATAACCTTTTTTTCCCCTGCCCCATGCCCTACACCACTCAGCAGTGTACAAAGATGGGTTACCTTACACAGAATAACTAAGCCAGCATGAAAGCAACTTCTACTACACAAACTACAGAACAATCAACCAGATTTTTCCTTTTGAAACAGACAACACTGGAAAAGAGCCTAGTAAGATGTTGGGCAAATGTAGTAAGTTAGCTACCCTAGAAGGTCAGTAGAGTGACAACTTCACCATCTGTAAGGTGTCAGATGATCACCCTAAGTTCTCAAGATAACAAATAAAAGTTAAACTTCAAACAACAACATGGATTAGTATGACAACAAAAGGCTAGATACAGACCAGTTTAAAAAAAAAAAAAGTCAACAACAAATCCCCCAAACAATATCAAAGCCAGGAAATTATGGGAATAAGTCTGTTTGCAATGATCAAGAAACACCATAATGGAACATTCTTTTCTACAGTTCTTTCAAACTAGTAGGTTCTCTTTGTGCCGAAGCACAGATACCCAGAAAAGTCTGATAAATTCCTAACAATCATTGTTATGCAACAAGTTGAAAGGATCCTCACCTTTACTGTGATCTCTAACTAAGACGATCTCCAATTTATTATTATTATATCCATGCAGTTATTTGCTCTGTGTAGGAGTCGGAGGACAACTTTTGGGAGTCAGCGCTCTCCTTCCACTATGCGGGACTCCAAGACCAAACTCAAATTCTCAGGCCTGGCACAAGCACCTTAACACACTGGGCTATCCCATCACTCCAGAGATCTCCAATTTTGACAGATTCCATGAGTGTTCTGAAATCCTCTTTCCCCCACTTTCCTAAGCAACTCTGGATGCCAGGCAGGCCTGTGACCATGAACCTGTATGTTCTACTTACATTGTTTCACCAGTTTTGGCTACATGACAGAGAAACTGATCCAGGACAGGACAAACTTCCTTTTTCCCTCTCTTCTCAAAATCTAGATAAGGAAAAGAAAGGAAAGGTTATCACTATGTTCTCTCCAAGAAAACTTTATTCAAAGTCTTTACATTTGGAAACAAGAAAATCAGCCTAGGCTGGACAACGGTGGGGCATGCCCTAATCCCAGCCCTGAGGAGGCAGAGGCAGGTGAAATGAGCTCGAGGCAAGCCTGGTCTAAATTCCAGGACGGCCAGGGTTAGACAGCGAAACCCTGTCAAAAAAAAAAAAAAAAAGAAAGAAAGAAACAAAATCAGCCTCTTACCCAAACACCCACATCCAGCCCCGAATCCCTTTTCCACCGACAGTGCGAATTCTCCTAAAGGGGGCACTCCACCTCACAGACCATCCTTACCAGTGTTTCCTAAGAGTGTTGCAGGGGAGACCCCGGCAACCGGTCGGAGCCCCGAGCCCCGCGGCGTGGATCTGAATGAACACCCCCCCCTCAAAGCACCCAACCACGCCGCCAACCCCAAACGCCCCTGGATGTCAAAGAGGGGGTCGTCAGAACACCGGGAGCCCGCGGTTCCAAGTTTGGGAAGCAGTGTCCTCGAGCCTGTTGCTCGCCGAGCCTCGGCCCCCAGCACGGGGAGGGCGAGCCTCCCCCGGCCCGGAGGCCGCCGCCGCCGCACGGCGAGGCCGCGCCGGTGCCAGGCGCTCCCCTCCCCCCGCGCCCGCGGCCCACACAAAGCCCGGCGCGGGCGACGGCGGCGAGGCGCGGGGCGGCCTCCGCCCGAGCGCGCGGCCGGCAGCGCGGCGACCCCCACCTTTCAGCGCCTCCTGCAGCCTCTCGACGTCCATGGCGCCGCGGAGTCCCTCGCCGCCGGCGCCTCCCTCGGCCGCCGTCCCGGGGGCCGCGGCGCCCGCCCCCGCCCCCCGGACGCCCGCCCCCGCCCTCGCACACACTCCGCCACACGCCGGCGACCGGGGAGGGGGGGTCCCGAAGGGAGCCGGGGGGGAAGCGAGAGACGGAGCGAGACGGACGGAGCGAGAACCTCCCCGAGCCGCTACCACCAGCCCTCCAACATGGCGCCCGGCACGTCAGCGCGCGCACGCTCTCCTCCTCCCCCCTCCCCTGCCCCCAGCTGTCGTCCTCGCTCCCGCCGCGCGCGCCGCCGCGCGCACTCACACACGCCCAAGAGCGCGCCTGGCCCGGCTCGGCCCAGTGCGCGTGCGCCGCGGAGGCTCGAGGGCAGGACCTCGCGAGTTCGGAGCCCGAGGCTGCCGGTGTGCTAACTGCAGACGCCGCTGGGCACGGGAGAGTGTAGGCGGTGTGCACGCTCGGCCTCTCTGAGCCTCCGTTTTCCCATCCGTACACTGAAGGCGCCGCGGCCGGCCACCGGGTACTGTTGCTGTGATCACTAGGGCTCAAAAACTACATTTTAAATGTTTGGGTTTCTTTTAGTTCTAAATGTCCGAGGATTTTATGTTTCCCAAGCTGGAGGGTGATCTTATGCTTCTCATTCTTCTGATTTCATCTCCCAAGCGCTGGGATGATACGGGTGTGCCACCATTCCTGTTTTTTATGGATGCTGGGCTACAAACCCAGTACTTGGCAAGCATTTTACCAACTGAGACCCATTCTAGCCCGGTATGCCTTTACTTCTTTAAAATATCTACATCTATTTACTTATGTAACGGGGGAGGGGGTACCACATGTGCACGTGAAGGTCAATGGACAACTTTGGGGAATTGGTTCTTTGCCCCTTGTGGATTTCATGGAAGGAAACACAGACCCCTCAGGTGTCCTGGTAAATGTCTTTACCTGCTGAGGCATCTCCCTGGCCCCTATGCATTTTCAGAACAAAACACGCTTACTGATATTTGCCTGGACTCAACTTTGATATAGACAGCTAAGTGACTAAGAGCCTGAAAATCGATAATCAATTGAGTTCTTATCTCCTCTCCCCTGGATGAGGGCTAGTGACCTAACCGCAAGAAACTCCCGTAACTTCGCTATGTGTGTGAGTACCCCAAAGCCACTGAGCTGCATCCTCAGCCCTTAAAGCCTCACTTTGCTCATTGCTGAACTGGGGAGGGGAATCCTTCAAAACAGACATGAGGTCAGGCAGATGGCTCAGGAGGCAGGGACCCTTGCTATCAAGGTAGGACCAGAGTTCACTCCCTGGGGTCCCATGGGAGGGAAGGAGAGAACTGACTCCCGATGAGTTGTCCCTGGTCCTTAGACATGCCCACCCCACCCCACCCCACACACACACAATGTAAATGCAGAAACCTTTAAGTAGATGTAAGGAAAGAATGAAATAGAGGCTATGAAACATTCAGTAGACTGGCTATGATTCTGGAGCGGTATTTTATCACTTCCCTCTGGTTGTCCTTTGACTCCCATTATGCGTACGCGAAGACGGACACAAACACACCCACTCGCAAAGTGATTTTAAAAGAGAAAAAAGGAAAACCATCGCTTGTTCCACCTTCTCTTCCCAAGGCCCACCTACCGTGTCAACGAAGAAGGGATGAGTTCTGTTGTTTGACCCGTCTGAGATGGTTAAGAATCTGGACACAGCCATTACAAAGTTGACTTTAAAAGATCGTGGTTCTAACTCCAACCCTACGCAGTAGATTCAAGCAAAATTCTCCCATGCCCAAAATATCTCTGCCAAATTTTGCTGAGAACCAGTTGTCTGTCTTTAGGCCACCTCTGATCGGGAAGGTTTCAGGGGAGGACAATGTCATAAAGCCATGGACCATCACTGCCATGTGCTGGGGTCTGAATGGACCTACTAACTCCACAACAAAGCTTACCATCTCCTCTCTGCTACCCAAGCCACCACAGGGTCCGGTCTCTTACACAGAGCAATCTGTGCTGCACAATACAGCCCCACTAGCAAAGTGCAGCCATTTAGATCTGAAGAAAAAAAATTCAGTAAAAGTTAAAAAGAACTCAGTTCCTGGATTCTTCACTGAAAAACCAGTCCCTTGGGCACAAGCCCCCGTTTCAAGTGCTAAGAACCGAAAGTGGCTGGTAGCTCTCCTATTCCATTGTTACAGGACTTGAAGGCATTCTATTGGAACCTTCCACTAGAGAACAAGCCCAGGTCATTCCTATCACGCTGCTTTGTCCCTTGTGTCACTCTCAGCTTGGGTCAAATTGAATTTCTTCTGGCTTATTCAGAATCCACCTAGCTCTTTCTTTCCTGTGTGTTGGGAGTCAAACCCAAGGCCTCTTACATGCTAGGTAAGTGGGTAGCACTGAGCCCCACCCTACACTTATCTGATTCCCCCCATTCCTTTCTCTTTCTCCTCTCTCTCCTCTCTCCCCCTCTCCTTTCCCCCTCTTTCTCCTTCCTTCTGTCTGTCCTTATCTTCTCTCTCCACTTTTCCTCTACCTCCTTTTTCTCTCTCCCTCCCCTTTTCTTCTCTTCCTTTCTCTCTCTACTTCCATCTTCTCTTTCCTCTTTCCCCCTCTGTTCTTCTCTCCTGTCCCTTCCTCTCCCCTCCTCTCATCCCTTTTCTCCCCTCTTCTTCCTCCTTTCTCTCTTCACCTTCTTCCCTTTCTGCCTTCTCCTTTTTCTCCCTCTCCTCCCTCTTTTTCTCTTCCTTCTTCCCTCTCTCACATGTCCTGTTCTCTCCTTTTCCCTTTTCTCCCTCAACACCTCTAATTTTTACAGACACAATTGTACTATGTAGGCCAGGCTGGCCTGGAACTGGCCATATAGCCCATACTGACCTATAACTCAACTCACCATCCTCCTGCCTAGGCCTCCTAAGTGTTGAGATTGTAGGCATTGATTGACTACAATGGCCAGCCATCTCTTGAGCCTTCTCATTTAAAGGTTCCTGCACTTAGGATTTTCTGCTTGAAAGCTCCTCCCCTGCAGAGCACTGAGGGACCTTCCTCACACATTTATGGTCTCAGGTTACCCACCACTTCCTCTGAGAAGCCTGTTCCCTTACCTGGCATTGCTGTGGGCACTTCTCTCCTGTCTTGTATCTTTTTTTTTTTCCTTTAGAATTATTTTATTAAATCATAAATGCACAACAGCTTCTTAACTCTACACACTGTCTTGTATCTTATCTGGTATTTGGAGATCAGGCTTACAGAGAGAGTAGAAGCAAAGAGGAGTCCGAGAACTGGGGTTTTGCTTTGTTTCCTACTTCCTCTTAGAATTCTTAACTGGCCAGCTTCCTGCTAAACCTTGTGTTAATCCCAAAGATGGGAAGAGAACAACCACCTGCCCAAATCATCAAGATCAAATTAATTAAATAAAACAGTTCATTAAAGCAAGATGTTTTTTATTCATGCGCAGAGGCTACCTCTCCCTAAGGTGGGGTGTGAGGGAGACAAAGTTTTCACAGCTCAGGGTTAGTGCAGCATTCCAAATGGGGAGCTGGCAGACGAAATAAGTAGATTACAGGAACAGAACGTAAGACTACACATTAGTCCTAATGACCTCCTGAAACAAAGCCGTGATTGCAAGGTGGTGGTAACAACAGGTAGCCAAAACAAGGTAGCCATAACAACCCTTTTGAAACAAAGGTAAGGCCGAAAGATGTTTATTAACTTTTTGAAACAAAGACATGATTGCCATTCCTGGGACAGGCAGCACAGAGCCATTTGTAGTTAAGGTTCCAGGTGGGGCATAGCCCATTTCTTGAGAAAAAGAGATTTAATCATCAACAGGAATGAACCTAGTTTGTCTTTATTATAAGATGGCTTTTGAGCCTAACATGGAGGCGGTCTGCTTCTTCACGTGCCAGTTCCCTGCGAGGAAAGGAAAACAGGATCAAGATGGGGTGTCGAGCCCGAGAACTCCCCATAATGACTTGTGAGATTCTTGCCCATGTCTGCTCTCTCCCTACACTGAATCAGAGAAGTCCACGGTGGAAGGAACGGCTGGATCATAGAAGACCCTGGGGCTTCTGCCTTGGGGACTTGATGGCAGAAGTCAGCTGCCACTCATGAGAACGCTGGCTAGCCCAAAGGAAAGAGCTTGATGGAGAAAGGCAGAGGAGACCTTAGGTTGGGGGACTCTTTCAGTGACTGCAGGGACAGTTGATGCTAGGGTTGCAGCTAAGGTGAGATCAACTAGAACAGTCCATCCGAACTACTTCCCAATTACTGATAAAAAGGGGCATGAGAGAAGGCAATGGTTAGAATAGTTCCACGCCTAAAACTTCAGGATAATTTTTATATGTAATAAAAAGACTAATGCAAACAAAATTAAACAGTGACCAAAATTAAGTTTTGTTTTGTTTGGACACGATCTCATGGTGGTGTGACCTGTCAGAACTGACCAGATTGGAACTCACTTTATAGATCATGCTGGCGTCAAATCTGCAGAGAGCCACCTAGCTCTGCATCCCAAGGGCTGGGATTAAAGGATAACTTCACCCTTCCAGTTCCACTCTCCCAGGGGGAGAAGTCTCAGGGTTCTGGCAGGGACTAGCGGGGCCAGGAAGCATGGAGTTTGGGACTAACGGGCTGGCGTGTACCAATGTCTCAGCTTTCTCCTAACTGACCAAATGCATGACAGAAAAAGGAAGAGAGATTTATTTAACTCATGGTTTCAGAGGGCTCATTTCATCCTGGCGGGGAAGGCATAGTGGAACTACCCAGGGCTTGGTGTGGGAGCTTGTGTTAGGCATTGTTCACGTCACAACAGACAGGGAAGCAGAGAGAGCATGGCAGGAGCCAGGAGCCAGGAATAAGCCTCAAAGGTCTGTCCTTGTCAACCCACTCCACCGCACTCCAGATCCCATTTCCTAAAGGTTCCACAGTGTCCCAAAGCATTGCCCCTGCTAGGACCAAGCATTACAAACTGAGCCAGTGGGGACATTTCAGATTTAAGCCAAAACAGAGAAGGACCTTCAGCCACTGGAAAGACCGACTGGAAGGCTGTAGCCTCACTGCACTCTTTACATATTGAGGAAAAGACCCAAGTATGGAAAAGGCAGAGAGTAGGAGGCACAAGATGGAGACAAAAAAAGAGAACAGAGAAACAGCCAGGATTTCTTTGGAGAACATGTGGGAGGATCTTTTCATAGGCCAATGGGGA